TATGTTACACTGTTTTTGTTGGGATATATGCCAACACCAAAGTCAACAAAGGCAGAATTTAAGAGATCAGAGTAACTAAAAAATCTGAATGTCATGCTCTTGACTTGATTTTAATTTTAATGAGCCTTTCTTACTTTGCTAGTGAAGTGGTCTAATGATTTAAAGGCCTTCCAACTAGTAGTAATAACGTGAGAGTGCATTTCAGTTGGCTTCTGATCTTTGTCTAGTGAGGGAAAGGCTTACGAGCTGGTAGCTGCTAACGTGTTAGAGCATTTCCAAATGACTTCTGAATTTCTGTGTTCATGTATATGAATAAAGAGGTGTTGATTAAAATGCTGCTCCACCAGAGGGAAACAGCTAGGAGTTGTGAGTTGTAAAAGATGACACTGTGAGTAACTTACCACACCTACTGCAAGGCTCATTTATTTAATATACTCATTCAGAATTATGGTTATATTTGGTGGCAAAAAAGTAAGACAATTTTTGCTTGTTTATATTGCATATGTAGTCTTTGACTCTATTCCACTTACCTCATGAGCATTCTGTTTGAACCTTTAGGCCAATTACTAATTATGCTTAGACTGTTTATCAAGGCTTTACTCCTTTTCTTTTCTATTTATAGCTCTTTTGATAATCTGCATTTATTAACAGCAATGATTTTTACAGACCTTTTGTATAGTTCATTTCATTTTTCACAAATACTGAATGAGTGTCAAAATGTTTCCAATTTCCTTCTCCTTCCTTCTTCTTCTTCCTTCTTCGTCCTCCTTCCTTCTTCCTTCTTCTGTATTTTAGGGAAGGGTCTACAGGGTGTTCAGGGTCTCACTACTAGATCGGACTCGTAGTGATCCCCCTGTTTACAGCCTCCCAAGATCTGGGATTACAGGCGCCACCACGCCCAGTCTCAATTGCTGTCTCAGTGCACCCCAGGGGCAGGGCCAGCATGGCAGGCTCGGGGATCGAACCCCCAGCCTCTGTACCTGCTTGCAGGCTCTTTAATCTACTGAGCTATTTGGTTGACCCCTCTTGTCCACTTCTAATTAAAAAAAACCTAAAGCTATTTATGAAGGAGAGAGGTGATTGTTTTTAAAAAATGTTTTTATGGTACCCACAAGAGTATAGAGTTAATTCATGAAAACTTGATGCCCGGGATGGGCAGAGTCAGTTTTTATTTGTCAGTCGTGGCTCATCCTCAGTTACGAAATAAAGAGGAGGACACATTTCACCGATGTGACTCAATAAGCATAAAAGATACTCCAATGGCACGTATTTCTAGTATAAAAATACTTGCCATAGTACGACTGACCTGCACACTTACGTTTTTATCTCAAAGCGGAGGCCAAGTAAGAGTTCACCGGGGTGCCGAGCTGGTCTCCAGAGCTCGTTTCACGCCAGTCTCACCATGAGATGCTGTTGGTGATGGTGTTTCTTTCAGGAGAGGAAGTGGAGAGACGGCTGTGCCGGGACGCCATCCTGCCCATCCCCGTGGCCTGCGACGTCCCGTGTCCCAGGGACTGTGTGCTCAGCGCCTGGTCCCCCTGGTCTTCGTGCTCGCACACGTGCTCAGGAAAAACAACGGAAGGCAAGAAGACGCGAACGCGCTCCATCTTGGCCTTCGCGGGTGCAGGTAAGGCCAGCGCTCCAGGACCTTCACGTTCCCGGCTGCTGCCGGTGAAAACGCTGACCACGGTGGAGAAAGCTGACCACGCTTAGTGGATGCAGCCTAGCTAACGTGGCAGCCTACAAAAATTAACAGAAACCTAGGAATGCCAGAATGTTTAAGGGATTGATCTATTGATGATTCCATTCCTCAACATGCAATCTTCAAACTGGGTCATTAAAAGGAGGAAAGACTTTTGAAAGTGAACCCATTTTGCTTTTTTTCCATTCTACTAACTCAACTTCTTTCTATTTCAAAGTGCTAAATTTGTGAAAAAGTCCAAAACTGATTCTTTAAATTTCACATTGCATTTTTTTTTTTTTGTCTGTTTCTGTAGCTTTATCTTTTGGACGTTCATTATGTGATCTCAAAAAGTTGTCATATATGTCCAATAATCAATTTTTAGAGAATTTTGTATGGCTAGGAACTTTTCCATTTTTCTATTTATAAAGTGTTTTAGTAGTAAATCGCTGATAATACTTTTTAATCAAGCTTTGTAACACCTATAGAAACATATTACTAACATGGCCTTAACATAGAAGTACTTACAATAACATGAAGAGAAATTTTTATACATAAAAATGAGCATATGTATGGTGGTTTACCTGTAATCCCAGGCATGGTGGTTTACCTGTAATCCCAGCACTAGGGAGGCTGAGGCAAGAAGATTATTGCAGGCCTGCGGCCAGCCTGAGCTATGTACTGACTTCAAGGTCAGTCTGAACTCCATGGAGAGGCTGCGCCTCCAAAAAAGAAAGAAACAAAGTATCAGCATACGGATCGTAAAATGTTTTCCTGTTATCTTAAAGTAATTTCACTGTTCGCTTCAAAAGGTGTTATCTATTGAGAAGTATAACTTTTCAGAGAGAGAATTACATTTCCTGCACTGTCAAAGGATAACTCTAACCTCTTATAGATTGTATTCAGACTTCAAACTCTATCAGCTCAGATTATGTCTTGGGCTTCATTAAAATGAAATCTGAGGTCACCCTGCTTCCTATAAATCTATTATGCTCTGTAGACACTTGCTGTGTGGCTCATAGTGCATGGCTTTTCACCCCAAAACACGTGGCAAGCATTTTGCTGCGCTTGCAGATAACTCAGCCGCTCGTCACTCCTTCAGGCGAGACGCCTCACAGAGAAAGGTCATGAAATCTTCTAAAGGCAAAAATTCATGCTTGCTCTTCATTATATGTATCACCCACTAAATTTGGGAAGGTGTGATTTCAATAATTTTCAATGAACATCACAAGCAAATCATGCTGAAATTATAGATGCTGGCATAATAAATCACAAAGGCATGAAATCAAAACATATCTTTGAACAGGAAAGATATTGGAACGTGTTAATAGGGAAGATTGTTGGTCTGCTAGTAACACAGACAAAAATTCACATAGTCCTCTGAGTATTTAATGAAGAATTTCTCTTTCAAAGCATATTTATTTAGTATCTATCACTTGCTGAATAATGAAATACATCTTCCCTTGCTTAAAGTTGCATCTTTTATAATCTTGATCAAAAAATTTTAAAAATTAAAAAAAATCTTGATCTATTTTTTAAAATGATTTCGAGCAGGCGAGCTAGCTCAGTGGTGCGTAAAGCTCCTGCTTAGGCAAGTTTACGTAGGTGCAGGGGACTGTGGTTCGATCCCTGGCACCACAGGCCAGAGTGGGCTGAGCCGGGCCCCCCCAAAAAATGATTTAAGAAGAACATCTACGAGAAATGTTTAAATAGTTCTCTGATATTAGAGGCTATTTCATAATTCTTTACAAAAGAAGATCAATCTATTATTTCTCAAAAATTAATGTTTATATGTGTCATAACTGTTTATTTTCTATAGATCATAAAATTATTGTGGTAACTTTAAAGGAAAATACCACACTGCCAGAGTGGGAAGGTGACAGTGAAGCATTTAGATAAAAAAATACCCAATTTCCTGGTGAAATAACTTAGAGGATAAGTCCATGTGCAAACTATATAGTACACAGGTTGAAAACGACACTTTGTCCATATTGGTCAGAAAACCATCACTAAGCTTATAGTAAAGATCCAATAATTTTATGTAATAAATACCAGAAGACTAAGTTGTGTGGCCATAACAGATAGGGCAGGGCTTACAAGTTTAAAAGAGTGAAAACATTCCCTTTCTTCTTCACGGGAATTAGCTACACGTTTGTCCACCTAAGGTCAGCCTATCCTCTAGGAAATGTCCCAGAGTCTCACCACCAAATGAGAACCCACACTTAGAGATCCTGTGCCAAATGGAGAAGATGCTTACGGAGTCTATTGGTTAAGCAGCAGCAATTAAATCCTTCACTTAGAAGTGATTTTGTCATTTCTCACAATTTATGCTAAAAGAATCCATAACCATGCTTACCTTCAAGAAAGAGCTAAAGAGCACAATTTTGCTAGTGCTGGACAAAGAAATGTACTTGTTACTGGTTTTATCTCAGTTTGTTCAGTCTTCTTATTGTGTATATGTGACACATGTGCCTATTTTGTATGCATATATGTACAATGTTGAGTGTGCTCACGGGCAAAAGAAGGCCTTGATTATGAGAAATGCACGCTAGTATACTTAAGGCATATACTTATCATTCCATCAACTTCTAAATGATCCAGGAAAAGAATTACTAACATTATTCTTAATTTTATTAGAATTCTGAGGTTTGCTCAAAACTAAAATAGATGAAGATAATACAGCAAAAACAATTTCTTATATAATTGCTTTCCAAGTGAAGTTGAATAAAGCTGTGTATTCTAATATCAGCAATACACAAAAATAGTTATGAAATGATTCTTACTGAAGCATTACTTGGAAAGTAAGTCACAAGTGGCCACTAGAGATCATTCGCGTACTAGAAAAAGTGAGAATTATCCTTTTCACACTGAAACAAAAGCATTTGCATTGGTGTGTATTGTGTGTGTGATCGCAGGTGTGTGTGTGTATGTGTGTCATCCGATTTCTGGTTAAATAAAACTGATAATTTACTTTTTCAACATAATTCTTTATACTGTATTGAATGAGTGGGATTTGTTCCAAAAGCTATTTAAAATTATGATGGGAAATTCTAAAAGAAAGTAATCTTTTAATTTTTTTAAGAGGAAAGAACAATAAAACCAATGAATGTAGTCTTTTATTAATTAAGTCTGGCCTATATTTAATACAGGCAGTAGTAGGTTGAGTATGAACAAATAATTAAAATTGATGTTAGAGTTTTAAGCTGGTTAACTTTCTGAATCCCTGTACAGATCTTCAGAAGCTTCATTTAAGAATGAAAAAATGATTTTCAAAATGATTTTCACTGAGCATAACAACAAACTGTTATTTCTCATGATGCTGTTACTTATCCTTAGAGAACAACAGAAAAAATGACAATTTACTTTTGCAAAGTTCAAAATGACCTGATCTAATTTCATCAAATACCAGCATGCCTTTATGCCTCCTTCACATATGCAGATGGCAGATGCAGCTTAAGATAGACTTATGCTCCATTTTCTCAAATAACAGGTAGTATCCAACAATGATGTTTAGCAATGCAAAGCATGGAGGCAAATGACATTTCTGTTCAGCTTGTTCAATTTTTACAGTTAATCTTCATACTGAAATACAGAGAACATCCGTATTTCCTAGAGGAAGTAAAGGAACCTTAAATATAAATGCATAATACAATACGGACTTGCATTATTTTATTTTCTAAGTAAATACTAGCACTTCCCCATCCTTCTACTGTCAACTTTGAGGAGGAAACTGCTTCAATCTGTCCCTAATGACTGCCACCAGAGACTTCCTTGAGCTCCACAATGGGAGGACTTCTACCCCTTTCCACAAGGATAAAGGAGAAGAAGGATTGGAGGTCCTGCAGCAGGGCAGACTCTCCTGAGCAGCAGCCTGATGCAGTCTATGAGTCAGTTCTTCCAAACCACACGCTTCCCAAAATGCTTTCCACCCACCAGTCGTCTACTGTCAAAAGGATTTTGTCAGTAAGAGCAGGGAAAGTTAGTGGCACCACACACCCTCTGCATGGCATGGGTGTGCCAAGGCCGCACTGTCTGCATGCCTTTACTTTTCTTCTGCTTAGATAAAATTCTCCCTTTCTTTTCTACTTTCTCAGAACTCTGATTTTTAAATTTTTACCCCTTCCAAGCTCATCTTTATATCTCTGTCTACTTGAGATATTTTTCAGTCTCCAAAACATGGTAGAATCTTATTCTTCTATATCCTGATTACACTAGATAACTCTCTTAACATAATTATTAAATTTAATGTCAAATACTCATTTTTGTCTCATCACCGCTACCACTCTTTTCTACACATAAAGGATTGTGAAAGTAGCAGGAGGCATTTCCAAGCCATGCTTTCTCTCGAAATATCCTGCATGATTCTTTCTCTCTATATATATGTACATAATTGTTTTGAGAGAATTCTTGATCTGTCAGATGAATTGGAAGAGCATATATGGTAGAACAAAAATCACCACAGCTTGGATTGAATGCATTCTAAGAAAGCTTTTAAAAATTTATGGGGAGAACAAAAGTCACATTTTCATTTCGAAGAGATAAGTTTCACATTAATACCTGATATTTTTATAAGAACATTAAGATTTATTCATATGGCAGAATTTCATCCAGGTCTCATAAATTCCTTTCTTGTGATGAAATGTTACAAAATCTTAAGTAGTAATAGTAGCATGAAGCATAAATTTTTATGTGTAAGAAGATTTTTAGAAATGTACACATTACTAATTTTGCATGGGTTACAATTTCCTCAGTACTCTGAAATTATTCTCAGATGTGTGGAATTAAATCTTCCCATCAATAACAGATAGTACTTGATATTATATTTATCAAATTGTTTTCTACCATGCTGTTGTTCCCAAAATAATATGATGACGCTTCAGTGACTGATTACTCCATACCAGCCTTCCAAAACTGCCATATTGTTGTTCTAATTAAGACCACACTGGGGCTCATCTGTGCAAGGATCCTGACAGCAGACACAAACTGCTGATGTAGCTTTAATGTGGGTTGGGGCAAGAAGCTACACAGCCGTTATGTCTATAAACTTAACAGCTATCTCACAGTTCCCAGACACATTGTGCTGATGTTGTAAAAGATTATTTTTTATCCTTTTTTCAAAAGCAAAATCTGTCAATTCCAATGTCAAAAATAATTCAGAACCTTAAAAATAACAGTTTGAGTAGCATGCGTGGCTCACAGTGAAAATGGTATAAAGAAGTATCTTTGTATGTCAGTAATTTTAGGATTATATCTAAAGGAATTTATAAAGTAATTATATATGTACACATAAAAGCTATAATTAATGTGTTTGCCTGAGAGTTAAGATCGAATAAGTCCAGTGCCTCGGGGGCTGTATAATAGGAGTGCTCGTTTTCTTCTCCTCAATTCAATTAGTTTATTTTAAGATTCAGTTCTATTCAAGCTCTAAACTTCTTTGCAGGGCAACCAGGGCCACAGAGTTGAGTGGTGGAAGATAAGATACAGACTGGGACAGCTATTTTCACCTTCATACTGCTTAATGAAGGTTATGCTGATGTGGAGCTCACACTTAGCACTACATAAAGGATCAAAGGTTTCCAGCTGTGAACACAAAAGAAGCCCCCACCTCTGCAGCGCAGAGTGGGCTAGCGCATAGGAAGGGTTTCACACCGCAGTCTGCTGATGAAAGGATGCTTGCCTCTTACCCCTGTGCCACTGGACTTGCTGCACTTACACTGGTGTGTTTTAAAACCACAGTGACCATGGAGCTCTGTGGCAGCTGTCATGGCGCAGTCATTGCAGTGCGTTCATGAGCCTCAGTGTCACTCTGGTGGAAATGGAAGTCCCATACGGCCTCTGCCAAAAACAGACAAGCGAAAGCAGCCGTGAACCATCTGAGGAAGTGAGATCTATCTTAGTTGTTTGTAAGGCTTCCATCAGATTCTGGAGGAATTAAGAATGCAGCAGCCTCCAAACTTAGACTTAGTGTCCTGGAAGAGAATTCTGGCCACAATAAGGGAGGGCTCTAAAAATAAATCCTATATAGACAACACCTTTGATAATGCAGATGATAATAGTGTGTGGGAGAACAGACTTCCATGGGTATAAGTTTAAAAGTGATCTAAAAGATTTGAACTCTGCAAATGAGTTTTTGAATCCCTTTCTTTATGCAAAAGGATGATGTAACTATGCAAACTATGCAATTAGTACATAAAATTATTTCAGTAGCATATATTAAAAATTAAGGTTGAGCAGAAATCATTGCATCATAGTTTAATTTGCAGCCATTTGTTTTTCTTCGGGTCACATACAATGATTGTGCATTGCACAACCACTGACGTTTTGGATTTAAAGGAATATGATCGTGACAGCAAGGCTTTTCTACTCATGCTCTGGAGGGTCAGAAACTCATTCAGTGTTAGCATCTGTGTTCCTAGTTTTAAAATGTATGATTAAGACTTTAAATTGGGGGATGACACTCGAAAACTCACTCAGTTATCCAGAGAGTCTTAAAATGCCTGTTTCCTCTGGTTGGCAATCGTATGGGCTTCGTGGTACCTCAAGTTCAACTGCTCTGGAAAATAATAGCTTATCTCTTTGGGGTCCTCCCCTATAGTCTACAATATAACGCATGCCACATGTTTTATATTTGAAGCCAGACTTTGCTACACTAAGGTAAGCTTCATCTATAATGTGTTTCCTAGTCGTGTGCTAGAAGCATGCCGTGTGCTCAGGGGTGACACATAGCATAGTGGTTAGCCGCATTATTTCCAGCAAACAGAGAAGCGTCAGGCTCCCGTTAGCTTTGTGTCTAATGAGCTATCATTCGCCATTTTTATAGGCGGGATTCGCTGTCCAAACAGCAGTGCTTTGCAAGAGACTCGCAGCTGCAATGAGCACCCTTGTACCGTGTACCACTGGCAAACTGGTCCCTGGGGCCAGTGCATTGAGGACACCTCAGTGTCGTCTTTCAACACCACTGCAGCTTGGAATGGAGAGGCCTCGTGCTCTGTGGGGATGCAGACAAGAAAAGTCATCTGCGTGCGTGTCAACGTGGGCCAAGTGGGACCCAAAAAGTAAGGACTGTACAGTGGCAGCAGCTCATCCTGTGCTCACCGGCATGGAGCTCAGGCTTTGCCGGCTTTATGAAGCAGAGCATTTTGATGCCTTTCATTCCTGTCCTCCAAAGTTACGTTTGTTTATTTTGAATGTCAGCTGCTGATCAAGCTGTAACAACTTCAGTCTTTTGCCGCTGTCCATAAATTCTACAGAAAGCTTTCCATCTAGCACCTATATTCTGTTTTATAGTAGCACTTCCTGCTTTTATTAAGCTGGTAAAGCAATGAAAGAAGTACTTGCTCTAGGCCTGGCTGATCAATAATGACAGTCCAGAGAGTCCTGGCAGTGTGGGGCATCCGTGAGTGCCCGTGCACCTGCGGGGGCCTCCACGAGCGCCTGTGCACCTGTAGGGGGGCCTCCACGCGCGCCTGTGCACCTGTAGGCTATGCAGGCTGCCAACCCACTTTAATTGGGCAGTAGCCTTGTATGATCTGCCCCTAGAGGATCCTTCATCAAAAACACTGAGGTCACACTTACTATATCTTTCAGCGGTTAAGTGAGTAAGCCATTTACTTCCAAAAGTCAGCCTTGGGAAAAGATGACTGTTGTGATAAGTTCAAAAACTATCAGTTTTTCGTGGTGGTTACAAATTCTGTACTATTGAGGTAAATCATTCACTAGAGAACAGAACAAAGAACCAGAGGGTATATATATATATATATATATATATATATGCCTTGTGATAAATATAAACAAGGATAAATCATGACAAACTAGAATAATTGATTCTGAGAAAAATTAATAAATGAAATCTGAGAGCTCTCCTTTTGAGGTGGAAAACCAGTTTTCTTTTATGTTTTAATACATAAACCAAGGGCCAACCAGATAGCTCAGCAGATTAAAGCAGAGACTGGGGTTCAATCCCTGGCGTACCTTGCCAACCCATCCCTGAGGTGCACTGAGACTGGGCATGGTGGTACATGCCTGTAATCCCAGCACTTGGGAGGCTGTAAATAGGAGAATCACTACAAGTCCAACCTGTGTAGCGAGACCCTGAACACCCTGTAGACCCTGTGCCAATACATTAAAACACAAATAAGTAAATAAATAAAGTAAAATGTAAGCTGCACAAATTCTGAAATGGTCTAATCATTTTAGTCAAGTGGAACTTGTAAAGTAAAACCACTCAACTTCGTGTGGGTGCAAATGTCTCTTAGTATTCTCCCAATAACCAATCAAGTAGTCAATTACTGCGTGTGTTCTTAAGCCTGGTACCTCATGAATTTTGGCCTCAATTTTCAAAGTCTCCTGAAAGCATTTAATGAGAAAATTTACCAACATAATCACCCAATAAATGGTAGATCATTATGTTCTCATGAGAATTTAAGATACTTCCTAGCATTTCCAGAAAAGGGATATAAGTGAACGCATCTTGAAAACCCCATGTGGAATGAATAAGAACCCCTCTGTGAGTCAGTATTATAGGACAGGGCTCCACACACTAAAGCTGCACTTTGTTTATATCATTTAAAATGAGAAAATTTAATATTTGAAAGGCAAGTCAGACTCTTTTAATAAACTGAGAACCCATTTTTCATATGCTTAGCAGGTAGCCTCAAACTAACATTTTAATAGGAATTATGCTGATATTGCCGTGCCTCTAACTCAAGAGATTATTGGCCAGTATATTAAAACCCCATGAGGGTAACAGCAGGAGTGAAAGTTGCAAGGAAACATTCACTTCAGAGGTGCAGGGCGTTCTTGTGTGTGCGTAGGGTGACTATTCTGCCGGTACACCCGCTGTATCCCTGTTCCACATTTAATCATCTTTCAAAATTGCCAGCGGATGGTTTTGCTAGCTGACGGCTGTTCATGCACACAAGTGTGTATGTGAAGGAGGCTGTTGGGTTGGCATCATTAAATCATTCAGCGGGAGAGTATCCTCAATCCTATGTCAGATTGCCACAATAATCCATTTAAAACTCCCTTTGACTTTGCAGCCTCTATTCAATGACCTGGATCCATAGATAGATTAATGAAGTTAAATGGATTTACTTTGCCCTTAAAATTTTGGCAAATTAAGCAAACATTGTGAGTTCAGAAGAAAATGTCATTGCGCTTTTCTCTGAATGCCAGGTTCAATTCAGTGAATGCTTTCCAATAGTGGTCATTTGAAGCAAAAATGCAACTGAAAACCTTGTTTTAAACTCCTCTTAATAAAATAGATTACTGTGCAATGGTAAAATCAATGTGATTGATTTTATCTATGCTGCAAATAACAAACCTCAACTCCTATCACATCTGCTTAATTTGACCTTGAATAAGATTTGCAGGGAAAATCAATTCTTTGACTCAAACCACAAACCCTAAACACAAACAGGACAAGGGAGAGAAGGAGCCTGTCAGCTGAAGCAAGTGCCTCACCAAAGGAAGTCTGAATTTATTTTCTTGAGTGTAGTCTAGGCCATATAATTTATCTTTGTGCGCTCATTTAATGACTTTGTTATTAGTAATTTTGTTCTCCACAGTTAGCAAAGTATCTTGCTGTGGCCCTTTCTAAACTAAAACATAATCTTTCGTGGTTGTTAGCGATAACACTGTAAATTCCATTGATTTATTCTGGGCTGATATTTGAAGAGCACACAGCTGAGTAATGTTATCCCATCGCGACTGTTATAAAACTGCCTTATTGAAAAGCAGTATGTTCAATAATAATTACTGACCAATAATGCCGTAGTCCCAAAAGAATTAACTGGATTATAAATGAGATTTTTTTTTTTACTGCAGAATGATCCCTGACTGAAGAAAAAAATCAATGTGAATTATAATTCTAGTGATTCACAGTCTAAATTTTAACAATTTGTTAGCTTTTCTGATT